CGAATCGAATCGAATCAGTCCAAATTCGAGCCCGAATCGAATCGAAAAAAAAATCTGTTGTATTTTTCACGCGGTATTTTTAAACTCATTTAAACTGGCCTTGTACCGTAGATGTTCGACGACTGTACAGTACAACGTGTAGTGCGGGCATAGAGCGGGTGCCGCACACTAGACCCCAATGCGATTCGATGTCGAACCAACGCCATTCGAAATTTAGAATTATTCGACACCGAATCAGGCAAATTCGAAATCGAACGAATTCGAACCAGGCCGATTCGATTCGATATCGAACAATTCGCACAGCTCTAATGAATGTCCAAGAACAGCCTGTCGATTGGTCGATTTTAAAGAGCCACAATTTATTGCAAAATTATTGTTCACGATCTTACACTTCTGGCTTACAGTTACACTTCAGTTAAACAGCGTCCTCTTGCGCTGTTTGAAGTAACCGTGTACATACCTGGTCGGCAGGGCGATGGTGGCTGCGGCGCCGGAGGGGCCGTGGTCACTTCGACGTCGTGCTCCATGTCGGCCCATCGCCCCGTCAGCCCCGCGTCAGCCGCCGTCTGCAACACGTAGCAACGACGGTCACAATTACAATTTCCGAGTCGTCGGCCGGACACGCCGGACAACCCTCCTGCTCCTCGCAGGGGTCCTGGCGGGCCGGCGCGAGGCGGCATCGGGGTGGGGGCTTAAGTCGCCCCAAATGTGGGTTAGAGTGATGCTTCGAGATGAGGTAATTTGCATGATGATGTGTCACAGTGCGTCACGGCGGCGCGCCAACCTGTGAGCTCACCCTGAGATGGAGGGGGAGGGGGACTCCTGCCCCGAGGGGACTTCCCATGGGCCTGCCCACAGCTGCGCTGCTCACAGATGTCTCCACCATTACAAACCCACCCTCTCCCCCAGTCTCTCTTCCCAACGATGTCCCTTACACTGCCTGTCTGTCTGTATGTCTGTCTGTCTGTCTGTGTCTCCAGCTTCAGCTGAACGACCATGCCTCAGCCCCTGCCAAGTGGGAGATAGGCAACTACCCCAACAGGCCTACATTCTGTTGCCTATCTACGAGGCGCTCACGGCACTCGGGTCAGATCACAAATTTTCGTTTTTTTTCTACAGAATGGACATTATTGCCTCATACTTTGTTACATTTTCATTCTTCAGCCCGCTTCAGCCACATTTTCTACAATCTCTCTTCCTTCCTGGGGCAAATAATTTCACACACACACAAACACACACGTACATACACGAACAGCAGAAAAACAGATCATCGTAGATAAAACCAAACTAAACGCATACTTGACCCTTCCTGTAAAGTCTTTGCCCTTTCACAAATCCGATTCCGATAGTGTAAACTAAAACTCGGTCTCTCTCGCACACACCACTTCAACACCGCGGGCGCGCGCCCTCTTTGCCGCAATGCTAAAGCGTTGGGTAAGACCGATGCGCGGGCGATAAGCGTCCCCCCTTCCTCCGGTCCTGCCCGGAGCGGTGCACGGCACACCAGGCCGAGGCCGAGGCGCGCACCAATGCATTCCAATCGCGCGGGAGAGGGCCATGCATTTAAACACGCGCGCGCGTGTTTCCGCATCCGCGAGCCTCTTGCTCGTATTGCGGGGCCGAGAGTTCTCGCTCTCTCTCTCTCTCTCTCTCTCTCTCTCTCTCTCTCTCTCTCTCCCTCCCTCCCTCCCTCCATCCTCTGCATTAGCGCACGACCGCATCCGGCCGCAGAGGACGTACGGTACCGTGCGCCGCAGTGCCCCCCTTTTAGCAAGCCGCTCGCACAAGCGTTTCGCCTCCAGTCGCCTGCTCTTCTTATGCGTTTTTCTCCCCTCCCCCTCCAAATGCCACCGAAAAGAAACGGGCAGGCATGTATATATATACTATGCCATGCCAGAGGGACATGAATCTTCTCTGGTATGACAATCGCAATAAAATGTCGTGTGCCAAGTGAGAAGGAAAGTGATTCCGACGTTTCCCCCTCTCATCAGACCCGTGGAGGGTGAGGAGGAGGAAGAAAGGCCGCAGACAGACGGGGGGTGCGAATGCGAAACGCAGCGATCGGGGCTAGGGGGTGTCGCGTTGCTGAAGGGAGCATATTTCCGGGGGGAGGGGGGGAGAGTGAGAGAGATAGACAGAGG